TAGTTTGAATGGTGTTGATCTATAAATATGGTTAATTCGTATTGATTTTATTTTGTATATTTATTTACGTTAATTTTCAAGATGTCTTTAGTTTTGTCTCGTCGTTTGTTCTTAATTATGGAAAAGTAATTATTATTTATTAATTTATTTTATTATAATTATTAAATTATTAAATATTTATTTGGTTTAGAGAAACCATTTATAAATTTTTAGATGAATGGGCCAGTGAATATTTTGAAAATAATGATTTCATCTCTATAACTGAACATAACAATCAAATTAACAAACTTCATAATCATTATTCAAAAGAAAAAGAAAAAGAAAGACAATTTATAATTACTGTTTTGATGTTTATTTTTATGTTTATTTTCTCATTAGTTTTTATTTTTTGTCTTTACCAAGAGAAGGCAGTCGCGTCTCTGGTGACTGTGTTTATAACGGTTTTAACCATGTATTTTCAATCTAAGAACATGTAATTTTAAAATAAAATTAATAAATAAAGCACTTTCTAATATAAATATGTTCCGATATGTAGATCAGTATAGTCTAAATTTGGTATGTTATAGTTTGAATGACGTTGATCTATAAATATGGTTAATTCATATTGATTTTATTTGCATATTATTTGCGTTAATTTTCAAGATGTCATCTTTAGTTTTGTCTCAACGCGTATTTTTTTTAATAATTATGTAAGTAATAATTTATTTGTATTTTATTTATAATTTTTAAATACTTACTTTCTTTAAAGGCAAAGAAAATTATCTCAGAACGAAGTACAATTAATATTACAAGAAAATTGTTCTTTGAAAACTGAAAAAGGTTATTTACAAAAAAGAAAATGATGAATTAAGAAATCAAAACGAAAAACTAGAAAATCAAGTTGAAAAATTGGAAAGTAAAAATGAAGAGGAACGGCAACAAGCTAGACAAGAAAGACAACAAGCTAGACAGGAAAGACAACAAGCTAGACAAGAGAGACAAAATTTACAAAAAATTTTCTTGCTTATAATTTTTATTTCATTTTTCTTTTTACTTTCTTGTCATGGTTTTAATGAATATAGTTATAATTTCTTAAACTATTATGAGGATATATGGCAAAGATTTGGAAATTTTATTTTTTCTTTTTCTCTAAGTAAAAATTAAAAGAGATTAATATTGGTTTGTTTTGTTTACGTAGCATGATTATATTTATATGATAATTTTTATTAATAAAATTGTAAATTACACGTTTGGTTCTGCTGATTTAATTACATATTTACCATGTAATATTGGTATAATTTTATTTATAAATTACTGGATTTTAAATATTAATAAAATCAAACGGAAATTTAAGATAATAATTTACGATTACAGTAATAATCGAAGAAGTGATAATTCCATAAATTTTTTCGTTATAAATATAAAACACTAAAATGATAAAGAGGAATATGTTCATTAAAAAAATCATAAAAAAACATAAAATTTTCATAAAAAAGACTTTTTCTTTTTGTCTTTCTTCTTTTTGGTCTTGAAGTAAACGAAAAATAATTTCTATAGTTTGTTTATTATATTGATTGTTAAGTTTATTCATTTCTTTTTTATGTTCAAAATGTGGACAGTTTTCTTTATTTTCTTTATTTTTTTTACTTCTATACCAGTCATCGAGAAAGTTACGAACTTGTTCTCTAATGAAAATTTAATAAATTTAAAGAAATAATAAAAAAAAAAAAACAATTTATTAATCTTACTCGCTCATTTTTAGGTAAATATTTTGAGATAAAACTAAAGAATCTATATTTTTTGTTAATATTTTATATAACAAAATTTTGGTACAAATTTCTGGTTCATTCCAGAAGATCAACAATAATTGTATATTTGTATGAATTCAGATTTGGCATTCTGATAGTGATGCATGTGCGATTACGTAAGCGGATGCGACACATTGATGATCGACAGTACAAATACCCACAATTTACGCCCAATTTCATGATTTCTCACCCTTTCGTTCGTGGTTTTATCAGAGAGATGGTGGAGAACACCCACATCTTAATATCCGAACAGGGAGAAGCGTAGTCTCTTTCACAGAGATGAACATGATGTGAGGCAGCGAATGACGCATGAGATAACCATCTCTTTGGTGAAGCGTATTCATGTTTCTCTGGTTGACA